GCGGCACAAAGCCTTTGCTCCAACACTGAAGGAACTACAACTACCCTTAACATAACATGCTGAACACTGTACTTCTGGTTAACAAATGAACAATTACAACAGGTGTTATGTGTCAAAAGATAGGGGTCCAAGATGATGCAGTTACATTTAGCACTACTGGACAAAACTTTTAAGACTAGACCATTTCTAAATGAGGGTGTTGCTGGAAATGTTTACGAATGCCTGTGGATGTGGACGAGCCCTGTGCTCCCATCACCTGTCTCTTCAGTGGCTGGATAGTTTTGTATTTCTCGCCCCATTTGCATGTACATGTATCTTCCTTGATATAACTTGAAAATTACCAAAAAGATATGTGTACATTATTGAAACACTGATGATGAAACATTAAATGTTTCATCAGTAATTTTGTAACAACGAACAAAGAAATTGACTGGAGTGGGATTTGAACCTGCAACCTCCGGAATACGTACTGGTGCTTTACCAACTGAGCTTTACACCCCTACGTGTACATTGGTGGCTCTTCTCATTTGTCAGTATCTTTGTTAGGGGGCACTAGTCAGAAGCCATGAAACCTGAAACACCATATAGCCAGGGATTACGCCCCAATTAAACGATGCAACTGGGAAGTGGTGAACAGGGATCATTTGGGGAGGATGCAGCTTTTGAACACAAATCATGAAACAAACTACGTACTCGTAGGGAAACTGACTAGGTGTTAGCACCAAGTCAGTTTCCTTATATACTAGTAGTTTGTTTCATGATAGGGGTCCTTTTAGTTGACAAACTCTTGTTTAACAACTCAGGACTTTCATTTTCAACTTGAAGAAAAACTAAAAGTTTTGACTTTCCAACAGCAAAAAACGGCTAATATTAGACCGGACTCTTGCTTAACAACTCAGGACTTTCATTTTCAACTTGAAGACAAACTAAAAGTTTTGACTTTCCAACAGCTTATCACTTATCAGTGCCAGTACGTACCACAGAAGTACACATGTACATATTTTTTTTTTCCTTTAAAATGTCTGTGTAAAACAAAGTGTAACTTGATGCACATTGCCTAGTGGATGATCCCATGAAGTAGCTGAGCTTAATCACTTCCTCTCTGTGGAATAAGAATGCAGGAACGCCTTATTTATCCCTCCTAGCAGAGGATTCTATACTTGTCAGAGCTACATTCACGCTAATGGCCAGACTGTTCCAATTTGGCCAATGGTGAAACATGGTGAGTGACCCTGCCAGCACTCATTTCCCATCTAAAACATTACCTCTTACCACTTGGAATGTCAATGAATTACATGTACATGTACAGTACAATACTTTAACATTATATTACTGCACAGTGGTTGAACTTAACAGTTAGCAGTGGCTTTCTGGCCAAGGGTCACAGAGAAATTAATCAGGCCTTTGCATAGGCCTACTCCAAAAATGATAGCCCAGTGGGACAGTGGTCAGTTGAGGTATGGTACATGTATATGTACATGTACTGGATCCAGTGCATACATGTACATGTAGGTTCTTGTCCTCAACACTTTTATCACTTTCACTGCTTGTTTTATTCCAAACATATTTCAACTCCCTGATTCCCAATCCACAGTACAAATTTACATAGCACACCCGAACGCCAAGTATACATGTATGTGTCAAAAGCATTCAGGGACACTTATCCGCACAAGTTTTCACAATTATGAGGGACCACATCGAGTCTGAATCAGGCCATTTGTGGATACACAATCCCCCATTTCAGAAAGAGCCTGTGGCATGCCCGGATGTTATTGTAAAAGATTGTAACTACAAAATGAAAATGATGGATATTCTTTAAAGATACATTTCTACAACAATTCATCAATAAAGTTGACAATTGGAGTCAACCAATAAAGTGCATCGGTACAGGAATCTGACTGCCACAAATGAGTACATGCAATGCCCTGATTGATTTCTCATTCCACAATCTGTCACAATCAATAACCTGGGCCACCAAATTTTGGAGAGGGCCAATGCATTTTTTCCTCTCGCCATCAACTTCTAGTACCATTCACAACACTTTATGAAGTTATACATGTACATGTCAAAGTTGCCTGGAACAGGATCAAGGACACATACATGTACATACATGTACCAACACATGTACATGACCTGTCATGCACAATATGATTAAAATGAGAAATTCTGCAAAGCCTGCCTGAATTTCTGTTCTTTTTTTTGTGACGTGGAATCTTTGTCAAATACGAATTAAATACATGTACATAAATACCATACATTGAAATTACACATGTACATCAGTTCAGTGTGCCCACTGATTGTTATGGTGCTGACTTATCTGATACCGTAAGTGTAGAAGGATATGATATAGAGAGCTACTAGTAACCCTCACTTGTACAATGTACACGTGCATAACATACCGTAAACCCTTTCAAGTTCAGAATCGATCTGTACGGTATGTTCCATCTGTCTCAAGGCATCAGCAATTCTCTACAGAACATGGAGACAAATTGATGCAGTTTGGTTCTTGTTTGAAACTACTGCGACCAGATCTAATGTACCCACGTCATGTTTGTGGGAAAAAAAGCTGTCTATTTCACTTTGAATAGCTGCAATGTAAGTTTAGGGCAAGAAACTCCCTCTGTCCTCCCCAAACATATGGCAATCATATAACTGACATTTACTTTCTCTGCCCCTCTCTTACTCCCTCTGGAGTAATGATATGCAACAATATGGAACATGCATCATGAACTGGCAGCAGGAGAGCTCCTGTGTGGAAAGACTTTTTGTCTTGGAGCAGGAAAAAGTATGTCAGCACTGATTACAGAGTTACTAGGTTGAAATATGGCACACAGGGTAACTTACTCACACCTGTTTCTTATCAATCAAGTATTGTGGGGACCTGACAGGCACATTGGCTCCCTGCTTGTTATGGACGTTCTGGTGTTGCTCAATAATCAGTGGACAAGAGCAGCTGTCTGCTGCCAAATTAGCCTGGATGGGTGAATTTACCAAACTGGTTACCTGATAGCTGAGGTGCTTCAAGGGTTTCTCTTGTTACATGTACATGTGTTATGGGCAAAAGGTACCCAGGTAGTGCTTTGTCATACAGTCAAATACCCCCATGGTTGTAACTGTATGTTATTAACAAATGATTCAACATCATTTATAATGAATGTAGTGTGCCATCATGTAAGAAATTTCAGAGGTTATCGAATGAAATCTATAATATTAGCCAGAGCAAAGGAATAAACCCCCTTTGCACAATTTCATTTATTAACACTTTCATTCAATCTCACTACAGAGTTTCTTCTGTGTTTTTATAGTAGCGAACATCGCTGCTTGGTTTTATATGCATACAGGTCTACATTAAGGTTTGTCATATATGATTTTTCCAGTCTAGTATGCATATTTTGGGAATGTAAAAAACACAAGATTTACAATGTACATACCTGTAAAATCTGAAGGTTGGATCTGTGCAACACTCATGCTGCAACATTTAAAAAGAATGTCAACCTGGATCACTTTCTCCAAATTAAAAAAATACCCTTTAGGATTAATGATTGAATACATGTACATGTATCTTGATACAGGTAAAAATAATCAACTGTCAACTTTTCATACCTGTAGGTCCATTACAAACAATGTACATGTCCATGTACGTAAGTACCACTTTACTTCCACAACTAATGTGAACTTGCATGTTTATTAGCAAAACTATGATGTCACCCGGGGCACTGACCCTCACTGTTACATTGATTTGTGCAAAAACATATAGCTAGATATTTTATATATGTACTTTTCTTTCTAATATTCCCATTCCTTTGGCAATTCATTGCCAGCAAGCAACCTCTTCTCAGAAATGTTTTCAAAGAGCACATTTGGGGTTCATAATTTGAACTTAAAAATATGAAAATTCATTAGCGTCTTCCTGGATTTACTTCACACTTACAGCACCCTCACCTGTCTGGGAAAGCTTGGTCAATTTTGACTTCACAGTTCACATAAACAATACTACCTTCCTTTCTCTCACAGTTCGTTGATCAAATGATGCATGTACAGTACGAATGTACATGTTCGTGTAGTAGCCCAATGTACTGTACATGTGCATCATTACACAGTATGCACTGTAGCAGACTTGTTGTTCTGTGTGAATTGTGTCTGAAAATTGCTGTGTTTTATGAGACATTTTTCCCGTAGTCTAAGACCAAGTATAATCATAATCTAATGGGTGTTCTACTCTGAGTCTGAATCACAGTATTATGAGTGGTTGTCAAGTTTCATAAACACCCCTGCATGAGTTGACAAAGTCTGCCAAAGTAATGTGTGTTTTATGGCAAACTCTGAATTTTCTGGGAAAAGATTCTCTTGTGCTTTCTGACAGCTTGCAACAATGGAGTTTTTACGTGACTAATAAGAGATATCACTAGACATGATGGGCATACATGTAAATGATAAGAGTTCACCACACCTGTCTTCTTTCAATCATGACTTGGAATTGAGAATGTAAAATCAATTTTCAATGACCTTGACTACATTTTTTCACATGTACATTGTACAAACAAAACCTAAACATATTAGTAAGCAGTCTAGGCAATGTAAAATGCAAACCAAGGTATGCAGCTTGGCAGAGGGCCATCTGAATGTTTCACAAACCAATGATGTTGATACCCATTAATTTCTAAGAGCACTTTACTGAAAATATTTTACTCACTGAAACAGAAGAGGGCGCTATTCAAAGTTCCAGGAGCTATCTAAAGTCACAGATAAACTGCCATAGCCAGCAGTGATAAATATCCCCACTTCAAACCATCAGGAAAAATAGAAGTTTCTCAGGTGTTCAAGACACATATCACATTCAAGCTCACTTCTTCATCTTTCATTAAGTTTCCTTTCAATTTTCAGTGGCTCAGCCAATGACTATTGAAGATACTTTCTCTTCAGAGAGAATCATTTCTCAAAAAACTCACAAGACCTATCACCATTTTGAAAACTGATGCCTACACTCCAATGCAAAGTACTGTAGAACAATTTGGATGGCCCCGTTTGGACAGATACCAGTGCTTTCAGAGTACAAACTGGCAATCCTGTTGGTACAGTATGTAGATTCTATCCTCCTTAACAATCCACCAGTCCATGTGCCACAAAATGCTCTAATACTAGCAGAGAATTTAATTGACAGCCTATTAATTGTGATTTGGTACATGCAGGCAATTTTGGACCTACATGTATTTACTGGCCTACAACCCTAAGTGCCAAATGACATTTCATCTTACATGTACTGCTATGCATGCAATGGGCTGCAGCAGCTGAACTTAAACCAAATATGACCAATATAAGCAACAACGTACATGTAACAGCTGAGATATTCAGTTCAGAAGAGACATACTGATCAGGGTCAAGCACCATAAGCACTGTGATTAAAGGAGGATATGATACACACTTAACATTATAAATAATCTTTATTTCTCCAAGGTCAAGTGTCATATCATTCAGTAAATCACATCCTTGTTTCCACCAAAGGTGAGACAGAATGTGTAATATGTGCACCTGTTGTCCCAGGCACAGACATGGTTCGCATTACTGACATTTCAAGCACCCTCTAAAATGAACAGTTGCGGACATGCATTGACACTGTACTTTAACTGGTTGAAAGCTTTCCATCAAAACAAAATGAATATATGTCTGTAAATATGAAGTAAAATTATGCAAGTAAGCCAAAAATGCAGTGTAAATTGCAAAGCATCTTGTTGGACTGAACATGATTAACCTTATTAAAAGTCCTATTTCATCCACACAAAGATGTATACATGTACATGTTACATGTGTAAGGGTTATAGTAATTTTACGACACCAAATTGTTTCTAACATGCCACGTCCTATGCTAAGCAGAATGCTAGCAGCATCCAAACGAAGTGGATGAAATGTTGCTTGTAGGTTTTTATTTACATGTAATATAAATCTATACATTGTAACAAATTTGCATGTACACTGTACAGGTGTCTGCTGGAACCTGCTACATTTATCTAAGGATCTTAAAAAGATCCACATGAGCATTTCAAATAACCCTTCATATTAAAATACTTGCTGAGAAAGACCACTTGCAAGTCTTCTGAAAGTGGTCTTTGTGAAATTGCTGATTACATGTACATGTGTTCACCTGTACTCTGTACATGTATACATACTGATACATGCGCCTAAGAACTTGAAATCGACCGGATCAACCCGAAGTTGCAAACTACAACTACTACTTAACTATGTTAAGTTTTAACTAAAATCTAGTAATTCTATGCATGTAGGCCAAAGCTGCATGGATAATAACTTTTTCCACAGAATTTACCATAAAAAACGCTCCATGGTTTTCAGCATGTCTTGGCTTATTTCTTACCCAGTGATTTTTTGTTTCAACTTGGTCATCTCCCCAGTCACTTTGAAAAGGAAGGAAAAATGTCTGCATTAGATAAGAGTGAAAGAGCAGCTCAGCCTCACAGGGAGAATGCGTCATTCCTGAAGGATACACGTTGTCTGGATCCCATCAGACATTTCAGCAGATATATCAATATTTGTGACTGGTTTGCTGCTGAAACTAGCTACTTCTGGGCAGCTGGTCCAAAACAGAACGTGTAAGTATACAAGTGCATGTAGATCTTGCTGCTTTATGTTTGTTTTAATTTGGACAATGGACTGTCTCTGGCAAAATTATGAAAATTTGAACTTAGTGATGACTAGGACTGAGTCGATTCAATTAATTCACTAATTGAATATTCGACCTTCAATTCGTCCAGCAGATTGTTGGACAAACCATGTACAAAATCAGTTGAAATAATGCACACAATTGTACATTATAATCACTATACATGTAATAGCTTTTCACGTCTAGCACTACATGTATCTCCAGCCACGATTTGGCAAGATTTAAGAGACGAACAATCCTGTTGAAAATTTCTATTGCTCTTAAATTTTTAATGCTCAATTTACTTTTTGAATCGTTTCTGTCACTTTTCATTTGAATCTGCTTGAAACAAACCTTAACAGTGAAATGTTTCTCATTTAAAACAAAAACAAATCTCCCTTCCTTTTCATGAATTCTTCAAATTCGGAAAATACTACATGTGTTCGAAATAATTGAATATTTGGATATTCGACACAGCCCTAGTGATGACCTGGTAAATAAAACAGCTCTTTTTTTAACTTACATGTACATGTAATTCCGTTCCAAGTTCTCCAAAAAGTGTCTGGTTGGATAGAACCTGTTATATTTCACTTTTCTGTAATTTCAAAGGTTCTTAAATTTATACACAAAGACTACTGCTCCTTCACAATTTCATGTAATAAGGATCCGTATTGTGACTGCTCTGTGGAATACATGTACATGTGTCTGAGATCACAATATCCTCACATTCAGTGTGGACAATACTGGGTAATTCCAGAAATTTGGTGTCCAAAAGTGTGACATTGTCAGGTCCCTGTTACATCTGACCTTTGCTATTTGACATGGAAATATCACCGGAATTGATTTCAAACTATTAGTATTTGTTTGGTAGGTAATTTGCATTAATTCACCACTCTTGAAAATTCGAAAATGAGTTCTGAACCTACAAAATCACACGTCAGATGTACAGGGATACGAAAAAAAATGGACCCCTAATTTCTGGAATTACCCTACTCTCAACGAATGTATGTGAACTGTTACGACAAAATGAGAGTGAAGTCGCATCCCACTCTTTCCTGTTTCAAAATTGAGGGTTCAAAGTGATATTGAAGCAGAGGTAAAGTTTCAGGTTTTGAAATATTTTGAAAGAATAACCCATCTTCTATTTGTTCCAAATATTCTGCCGCATCATATATTGAAAGGGGAATTTTCTCAGCAATTTTGACGATACATTATTTGTACCTGGTCTGAAATACTGAAAATATGCAAATATGAAAAGACGCAAAGCTGCCAGAAAAATGTTCCTTTGTCACCTTATACTTTTATCCTAAGTTCCATGTTTATACCACTGGAAAGCTCTTTTCTGCTGAATTCAAAAATACCAATATCTCAATTTTGTAAAATTCCGACTTTCAGCTCATTTTGTGGTGACAGGTCACGTATGTTTGAACTAAGAGAGACATGTACATTTAAGTCATAACAATCATACAGAACTTTGCAAACTCTAATCTCTTCCAGCTTGATTGGAACAGTAGGTTTACAACAAACTGTACGATGAGGAATGGGATGTATCATAAGCCTTGTGTGACACTAACCTTTTATTCTTAACAGAACTAAGTCAAAAGATGGTCAAAATCCTTCTCAAATTGGACACGTCACCTCAACACAAATCCAACAATCAGTATTTTGCCAAAGAGGAAAACTGTATCCACACCTGTCAGACCAATTCCATTCAAAGTAATCTGGATCGTTCATCAGCTCTTAAAGGTTTACCTGATTCAAAGATTCCTGGCTCACATGAAATAGCCAAACGTATTAACTATTAATGATGTACATGTATGTACTTTAGCTGAGTGGAGCATTAGTACATGTATTTCTCTTTTTCCATTTTGGACGGGATCGTTATACTGGGATCAGGACAACTCGGCCCCAAGACAACTCTGACCCGGGACAACTCGGCCCTAAGAAAACTCAGACCCAGGACAACTCAGCCCCAAGACAACTTGGACCTAACAATGGACAACTCGGACCCAACAATGGACAACTCGGACCCAACAATGGACAACTCGGACCCAACAATGGACAACTCAGACCCAACAATGGACAACTCGGACCTAACAATGGACAACTCAGACCCAACAATGGACAACTCGGACCCAACAATGAACAACTCGGACCCAACAATGGACACCTCAAACCCACCAATATTTTGGCACTCGTTTTAGAAAAACAGCATGTTAGTTCGTGAAAAGAAGAAGGGCCTTATTTTGTGAGGGACATAAGTTTCAAACTACGCAGAAGAAATAAAAGTACAGGTGTCACAGCAAATAGAGATGCACAGACTAAAGGAAAACAAACACTTTGCTGTACGATTCATATTATTTCCGGCAAACTTGCATCCTCTTATAATATTGATTTAAAGACACTTTTTCATTTCTAGCTTCCCTGTAATTGATCACAGACATCCAGCTTTCGTGAGTTTTTTTATCAGTATTAATGGGTGTTTTTATTATTTTGTTCAAGTGCATAACACAGCAATATCGGAACAATGGGCTATAATGTTCGTAAAGCTTAGCTCATCATTGTCAAAGTATAAAACTATGGCTTTCCAAAAAATAGCTACGTAAGGAGTCTCTGGGATCTGTCAGTCATTTTCATTAACAGTGCTGGATGCCGATGTCAATTAGGCCTAGGGATTAATAATCACAGTTGAATTAACATGCGGTCTCTGGTGGGTGACAAACGGGCCAGTGGCAAGTTCACATTTGGCACGCTGATGTTGGATGTTCGTGCAGTAGGGCCCAGGGCCGTGAAATGCTTTTTGGTGAGCCTGCAAAAAGGCAGATTCAGACTTCCATACTTCATGTGAAATCGAACACAAAGAGAATTTGTCTGGGAAACGGCACACGTTACAATTGAAGTTTTATTGTGAGGTGCGCTCGCGTTTCAAGCTAACAAAATTCTTTTCAGTTCGGCATGTTCGGGGGCTGGTTGTGCCGTAGTCTTTGGTTGTGTCTCGGGTACTAGGCCTATTCAGGTGTGAAAAAACATAATACCTGCATGCAGGCTGCAGCGCACATGACATGCACAATCATGGGCAGTGGTTATGAAACCTGACCTCTTCTGATCATAAACACATCGCCAAGTGGCCCTGTAGTTGGACCCAAAATCATTATTCAATTTCTGAAACTCCAGATTTTCTCGTCGGTCCAGGCCAACTTATTTTTGTAAATAGCGTCCAAATTAACCATAATTCTAGTTCATAATTCAAAGACAACATCCTGTCCCAGATGGCTGGGTTGGGTCCGAGTTGTCCATTGTTGGTCCGAGATGTCCTGGGTCAGAGATATCCTGGGTCCGAGATGTCCTGGGTCCGAGTTGTCCTGGGGCCGAGTTGTCTTGGGGCCGAGTTGTCTCGAAACTAACAGACTAACGCTCCCTGCCCGTGCATACATGACATAGAGCATAGACTTGAAGGAGAAAATACAATAGACTGCCAACTCCAGCAGGCGTGCGTGGATCTTGTGTCAACCAGAAGTGCCGAAGTTACCGGCACAGACAACTTTCGTTTTGCTGCCTCAAAATGGCATAAATTTCCAGGTAATTATTGTGCAGTTGCTGGAAGCAGTGCCTAAAGACAAAAATAGGGGGTTGAGTTTCTATGGTATACCGAAGAGGCCAGATCCAGCCCAAAAACAGCGAAAACACGAGGCGGAACGGAATGCGAACGACAAGAACGGAGGCAATGTACATGTAGGCCTAGTTAGGAATTGTCAAGATAGCATTGTTTTATAATAGGTATGATAGGTGAGTTTATAAAATGTGACTATCGGTGCATTGGGGTTTCAAGACCAAAGTGTTACTTCTTCTTCAGCTTAGTTGAAATATCGTCGACTAATCATATACACGTAGAAGTAGTGCCACAGAGTGTGGTGATAATATTAACATAATAAAAACTACAAAAATGTAACAATTTATTACAAAAATGAGTTGGTTTGTTTGTGATCTGGTGCAGTGTTCTTTTTCACTTCACAGTAAATCTCCTTATATTTCATTTTCTGGTATGTGCAGGTGCCATCGTAGCCTACCCACTGAATTTCTGCCCACATCATACATGTAAGTTAATCATCCTGGTCCTGGTAAGTGCATTGAGATGGTTGTTTGAGGTGGTCGTTGACTTGAGTTTTCCTGTGTTAAATGTTTGAAATTTGATTTCTTAAATAGCAATTTTGACAAGTTTCATTTTTTTCTTTGTTCTTATTTTCAAGCATTTTCTTGTGTCTGGCACCATGTATGGATGTTTAATCCATATTGCACTGCAATGCATGCTTTTCTGTTGATGTCCACATGTATTAAAACCCCTCATGTTATCCCCTCTGTAAACATTTATTGAGTAGTAACCTGAATTTTATGCATGCTATAACTATTCAAAAGCAATGAAGTCAGATTTTAACTCTTGTTCAAAAGTAATTCTTGGCCAGATGCCATATCTTAGGTTCATGTCATCAAATTGGGCCAATCCAACTAAGCAGATCTGAACCCCTTTAATTTTTAATTTTTTTAAAGGGTTGTTATGAAACCATTTTTGCAAAGTTTAATATTTTACTGTAAATTATGAATACAATGTTACTGTTAATGAACATCTTGTGAATGACCAATGTACGTTCCTTCACACTAATTGGAATATGGTCTTTTGGTGACCCTAGCATTGTAACAGTTCAGAATGTTGCCACACCTTCAAAACTGGCATTTGAAATGAAAAAACAATACAAATGCAATACATTCTTGAATGCGATAAAAGAAAGTTGGGTTTGAACCCCATTCAGGCGAGCTTTCATTCACTCATACTTTGTTGAATCTCACTCCTTTAGGTTGTGTGAGCATCACTTACACCATCCCCTAACTTGGTCGCTCACATGGACTTGAACAATGTGCGAAGGGAAGCCACATTTTGAGGACACAATAGCTACTGACAGCAGACTGCAAGCAGTACACTGATTGATCTTTTCAGCACTTGCAACACTCATAGCAGCATAAAACTTAAGCAGGCCACATGCTTCAACCGTATATACAGTGTATGCAGGATGTTGTGTGCTTGATCCCAGCCTGGCACACAGTGGATTTTTTCCTCAGGGAAGCAATATTTAGTGTTAATAAAGTTATGTTGCAGGAAAGAAATCACAAGCTCACTTCATATTGCAATTTCCTCATTCAATACATCTTACCTCCTTGAAAACTGAAGTAGTTGATTTTAAAGAATGAAGATTTTAGGAGGCGTTCTTTAATCACTGATATTAATGCCAGAGTCCAAAAGTCAAGTATCATGATGACTAGTGCACATTACACATTTCATATGTGTCACATGATGTTGTACATGAGTACCTGCATAATCTTTAAGAACTCTGCTCTATTCCACATTTTTGGGGATACCACTGCCCTCAGTTATGCCATCTACATGTACATAAGAGCCTTTTGTCAATATGGACAAATTCAACTAATAACGAAAGGCGTCTTACAGGATGTTTTAATGAAACCTCAATTTTATTTGACAAATTGATAGAGACAACTTTGAAGCTATTATATAATAAATGAGGTGCTTGAAAAAATATGTTTGTATGTGTACATTGTACATCTGTATATTTACATTTTGTAATTCGGAATTTTGGGGGATTTGGTCATTTACAAACCAATTTGAGTAATGTTTAGAAGTGTTTGCTTGCTCCTCTCACCAAGGGAAGCCAGAAACCCGTCTTTAATATTCTGCCTGAAAATTTAACAAGCTGATGCATTTTGTTACTTTTTCCCCCAAAACAATTCTGACTGTATAAAATCAGCTTATAAAGATCCTATTAGTACATGTATTACATACAGTTTATGAAGTATGGCATGTACATGTACAAAGTCAGTGGGAAAATTAAGCTATGGGCCTTCATGTTTCCCACACATTTTTCTAATATAACACGATGTCCCTTAAATTTAAATCTTGTAGAAAAACACAATTTTGCTCATACATATAGCCTTAGCATTGAAATTTTTTTTTAACGACTTGAACTTGAATGTGAACCGGGGAACATGTACTTTTTTTTCCCTTGAAAAATCCGACAACCCCACCAGATGAGTATTTACAACTCTGAAAATTGCTTTACGAGTCAGAAAAAAAAGTTTTGCTGGATTAAGCCAACCAGACCTGGTAGTGTCTGGCTGAGAGTACTCGATCATGTTTGCCGATTGTCACGATCATGAGAAAAGAATACATGCACAGCTTTCCCTGTCTAAAGGCTCCCTAATTGTTGATAATGCTCACGTTAGTATACTTATGATTATCACAATGTCATAACACACTTGTATGTTGTCTATCTCGTCCATTTTGCGATTGTTTTTTCTACAAAAAAGAAAAGTTCCGAGGCCAAATTACGAGCGCTGCGCATAGCCTGTCGTTATCGTTCATCGCGCACGTGAACGACACTACAAAGGTCAACCAGAAGTTTCCTGTGCCGGCAATCCAGAGCTTCCGGCTGACGGAACATGTTTACGCGCAATGCGCGGTGCGCCCTCTGGAGTTGGCAGTCCATTGTACTTTCTCCTCTAGGTCTGTGCATAGAGTAAGGTGAAAACGGTTCTCAAAAATTCCAAAGACTCACCAAAAATACCTCTTTCCCCACCTACTGGCTTCTGTAAATGCCAACGTCAAAGGGTTGGGGCTTCAATGATATTTCTGACCTCAAAATCTGTCAAAAGTCGACCGTTTTGCTCTACACAGTTTACGGCTAGTAATTCTATGGGCGAACATGGTCCCCCAAGACGCGGTCTGGTCCAAAGGCGCCGCTTCGCGGTGCTATACGATCTTTGGTCTGGACACAAGACTTGTTGATCGTGACCTTCGTGGTCCCTACCAATGACTGTTTCATGGTGCCAAATGCAGGCCCATGCTCGCTACTCATGCGTTGCATGCACGGGCATTTGTGCAGACAGTTCACCGTACACCCTGAGGAGACCATGAAACAGTCTCAGTGGGGACCACAAAGGTCACGATCAACAAGTCTTGTGTCAAGAGCACATGATAAAGCTCACTCATGCGTACGTCTTGGGGGGCCATGTTCGCCCGTAGCGTTATTAGCCAGAAACTCTACACCAAAGCTCTTCACGCCCGTATTTGAATGGAAGGAGCTAGCGAAAAGTTTGAGTGCTGTGCGTGTGTCGAGCAAAACGGTCGGAGTTTGACAGATTTTGCAGTCAGAAATATCACTGAAGCCCCAATCGTTCGACGTTGGCATTTACGGAAGCCAGTAGGTGGTGATAAAGGTATTTTTGGTGAGTCTTTGGAATATTTGAGAACCGTTTTCACCTTACGGGCGTGGAGCATTAGTATGACGATCCCTTCCAAAATCGAAAATGGGAAATAGTAACGCTCCACTCAGGTCGTACTAATCAGCGTCAACACACCGTCAACAGTTACAAAATGCATTAAAAACAGAAAACAGACGTATCGAACTGTAATGTATACGCTTAGGAATAATTTCTATTTAATCGAGTTTACATTTTACTTCATTTCAAGGGAGTTTTTTCACGTGAAAAAATTGTCTCTGAGCAGCGCCGCCGTTCGCCACCATCTTGCCTTCTTACGGCGTTTGGACCGTATCATGCTTTACTGTTAAAGGTGACCCCCTGTAGCGTAATGGTATGGTCCGTCTGACCGAGAGGCAACATGGCTACCGTCTTTCGTGGCTGTGCGGAGGGTGTTATTTTCGTGAAATAAAACGGCGTTTCCCCCCCAAATGTCGCCCACTGTTGTTAGTCAAATTGTATTTTTGGCATTATATTGCTATCGAAGTTAGAACGTGATTTGGGTGTGTTAACGGTGTGTTGACATTACTATCACGTGTTGACGAGTGTTGGCGTTGTGTTGACATTGTGTTGACGTTAATTTGTACGACTGCTCCACTCAGTAGAGCTACATGTACTTGTGCAATTGTGTCTTATGGAGGATGATAAAAACTACAACACTTCTAATGATCTCAAAGAGTACATGTACCGGTTCGTGAACACGTGTAACCTATAGGCTAAATCCGACAGAAAATCTGTAGAGGGAGCCGAAGACCAGAGTGATGGCCAGGAGACCAGGAGGAAAGTGTTCCCAGGACAGTGGGGGTTCCCGGGCACTTCATACGTAAGACCTGCTTGGCTTTTGTTCTCATTTTCCCTGTTATTTTTCGTCAGGTGATTACTGTTTGTGATATACCGCAAACCGTTGGAATCACTTTGTATTTTGAAGTCCATCTTTTTCGTGTCTCTTACATTTTGCCTGCCTCGATTGCATAAATAAATCATAATGTCTATGAAGACCAGCAGGTGTGGCGATATTCGTTACAGGTGAAGCATTTATTTTGTCCATATCCTCTGGAGTAATGGGATTTTTATGGTCCACATACCCCTTTCCAATTTTTTTTTCAAGTGAATGAGTACCACTTTGAAGCACCTATTGGATCGCTCAAATGCTTGATCCTTCACAATGTCGACTGGGTTGCTTTCTGTGTCTTTGAAATGCTTCTGTAAACAATACCTGATAAATTTCATTTTTTTTACTTGAGTAATTACCGTCAACGTACTTCTGTGTAGAACCTCCGCAAAAAGTCATGGAGAGCCGCATTATTTCATTTCCTCCACCGCCGATAAGTTGTGCCTCTGTCACTGCAATAACTGGAGAAAATGTTCATGCACTATTTCACGTTCTTTTTAGTGTTCTGTGAATCAGCTGAGTCGAGTCCTTTTGCAAATGTGTATCGTTGACTACGATGATACACTATTCCCAGACAGACGAAGCAATTCTCCAAGATGACATTGGCAAAATTTCTAAATTGTGAGTAGTAACTGCATGCGACTCAATACTAGTAAAACAAAGGTTATGCGAGGTACTTGGTCCAAAAATGCTCTCAACCCCCAGTATACATTGAATCATTCTCAGCTTGAGGTTGTTCATAAGATGACATACCTTGGTGTTGTTCTAACTGACAAAATAACCTGGGATGATCATGTCCACTACATGTATGTTACCAAGAAAGTTAATAAATTACTGGGTTTATATCTAGTGTTGCCAGGGACATATGTGATTACGCTTTTTCTCCCTGTATAAATCTCTTGTTTTGCCAGTCCTAGAGTACGGTCTGCTCATTTGGCACCACTTTAATAATAACAACCTTTGTGAGAAGATTGAAAAGATCCAACGTAGGGCCACTCGTATGATCCTGAGACAAACGAAAATGGAAATGAGTTACAATGATAGGCTGAAGATCCTTAATTTGTCTACTCCTGGCATGTAGGAGGAAATTTCTTTTGAACTCATTTATTGTCAAAGCGCTTTATGGTGTAATTAATAGCGAAGAAGTTGTCCGTATATTATGGTCAGTGGTCGGAAAGTTGGCGAGGTCAAGTTCAAACACCTCAGGGCTCAGACCCCAAAACTCCACCACTCACCAGTGAACGTCTTTCCCCGTTGCTGGGAAGAACTCCCATAGAACTGGGGTGGTTGTGCTACCTCTGAAACGAAGGATCAACTTACTCAAGTCCGAATTATATGATATTGATTGATTCAAAAAATCTACCTGTAGCTTTATTGCCTTCTTATAACCCATTTTTAATTTTACCTAATCTTTTATTAATTCTTGCTAACTCATTTTTTTCTAGTCTGATCTTGGCCTATAAATATTTATTTTATTCTGTTTCATTTTTACCTGATTTATTTAATCTTGATGGTTTTACTTTAGTCGTTTTATTTCTGCTACTTCTTGTTTATTATTTATTTGTTTATTTACTTATTTCCTGGAATGATTTAACCTTTTTTAACATTTACATTTAGATTTAGATAAATATATATTTTACATGTGTTGTTTATGGTCCGTCGTATCGGAAATGGAGGCCCTTGGGTCACTGTTATTAGGTTAACTTTTTCATCTCCAGACATTTTCTGCTTGCCTTGTGTATCTTAAATGTTATGTACTGTCTGTATTGTGCTGTGTCCTTGTGAAGAATGCGGAATAAATAATAATAATGTGACATGCCGAAGTTTTAAAAGGGCACCTGACTATTTGCATCTTCGTACTCTTGACATATAAAATTTGTAGCTAGTGCACATCCTCGACTCTATGGGCTGCGTGCGCGTTCCTTCACTAGCCTCTGGTCATGTAGAATACAAAAATGACGCTAATTGGCTATTCAGGGTGAATATACATGAATGTAAAGTCAGCCGCGTTCTTGCGCCCATGTATTCTCCTGCACGTCACGCACGCGTAAACCTGTGTTGCTCGTAAACACGCTGACTAAAGTCCCAATTTGAATTAGGC